TTAGTTTGCTCGTTCGCTTCGCGCCGACGGAGCAAACTTTTACGCACGGCACGTGTTTTGTTCGTCTTGCACATACATACAAAAAAGATAATTTCGCCGAGAAGTTTCCGGAAGGAATTACTCTCTGGTTGGTGAACCTCGCAACGAGGCCACGTTCTCTCCATCGCGAACATTCGAAGCGGCTAATCGCCGCGGAGGAAACTAAAACGATCTCGCGTGGACGCGATCGCGGAGGCTCGGGTTTTACGGCGAGCGAAATGGAATGATGGGGTTACACACGCTAATTCGTTTAGCGGTGTGTACTGCTAACGCTAATGGGACGCGCGGTGGCTCAGGCTCAGTTTTCGAACGAAACTCAATAACTCGCGGCACAAAGCTCTCGGATGACCATTCTTCTGGCAAAAACTACGCAATCAAGGGCTTTGAAGTCAACTCAACCGGCGGCGCGCGGCACGCATCGTTACGCGCTACACGCGCGAATCTCTTCACTCGCGACGATGTGCGAATTTACCTCGCGAAATTGCACGGGGATTAAGATCTCCAGATCCGGCACGTACTTGCCGTCAGACAAGTCGGAGAACCATGTCGCTGACAGTTTGTAAATGATCTAGTTTACGCCGCGGGAAAGTGAGAGATAGAGGGTAGGTGCGGCGGGCTCGTATTCCAAAGTGCGGCTGAAGGGGAAATGACGGTCGGAAGAAAGGGGTGGTGAGAGAGACGGAGAGGCAGAGACAGAAAGAGAGGCAAGGAGGGAGGAGAGAGAGAGAGAGAGAGAGAGAGAGAGGGAATATAAGGAAGAGCAAGAGAGATCGGGAGCAAGGACAAAAGGGGTCTTGTTGACTATTCATTTTCATAGTGACAGAGAGCAAACTTTCGGGTCGCTTACACCCACGAGCGAGCTGCGGCCATTAAAACCGGTACAAATCGGGTATTCTCGGGCGTGCTCAGCCGTTATGAACACGCATTTGTTGCGTTCCGCTGGGCAATGAAGTCAGATGGACGACGGTCGCGCGGAGCGGACGAGCCTGCGATGCGAATCGCGGGCGACGAGCGCGCGTGCAGTTCGCTGGTATAAATTTCCCGCTAACGAATACGTATATATCGCCGGGGACGCTTTTGACCAGCGTTTGATGAACACCGGACCCGCCTTCTCCCGCTCTCCCGGACGAAGGACAAACCGATGGACGGCTTGACATTTGCATACGATGAACCCGCACGGGCGTTAACTGCTCGGGGACGCGGAACGAACTACAAGTCACCTGGTACCAGTAATTGAAATGAGGGTAACTTTGAAAAGGGGTTGTGTGTGTGTGTGTGTGTGCGTGTCACACGCGCGAACAAACGAGGAGGTCGAAAGTTCTTTCGGCGACGGACTACACATTCGTGTGATATTAAGCGCGATATTAATGACAAACTGTGTCTCTCTCTCTCTCTCTCTCTCTCTCTCTCTCTCTCTCTCCCTCTCTCTTTCACAACAATACCGTTCGCAGCCGCGCGGAGGAAGAATCGTTGTTTCATATATATTTATATCTCGAACGAGTGAATGCGATTTGGTCGTACTCGACGAGAAGAGAGCGATTTTCCACATGATTGCAGGTTGTTAACGAAAATCGACGGTGTTTAATTGCACGATGCACGGCGGGGAGCGTGCTTCCATGGAGGAGGACAAGAAAAATTCGTCGTCAGGCTCGAGTGAAACACGGTTAATAAGTGGCGCGCCCAGCGGAGCATGCGGGGCGGAAGGGGGCGCGCACGGGGCTGAAATGCCCCTTGAAAGTACGGACTATGAAAGCGGAATGAGACCGGGCGGGCGGTACAACCGGGCAAGTTCGGCGCGACGGGGATGGGGACGGGAAGTTTAATTAAATATCACGCGACATATTATGGGAGGTGGGATACGCGTATGGTGTCGATGGCAAGTAACGTCGGGAACACGCCGCGAGAGCGAAAAGTTCGCACGAACGAGCGAACGAGGCGAGTAGTAACAGCCGCGCTGGCAGATAATGGAGGGTGGTGAGCCGACATTTCAGAACGCGTCATCGGTACTTTTCTATAAAGCTGCCGGTTTGAACATTCCTTTCGGCCAACCCTGTCGCGCGCGCCTCTTTCACTCTCGCAGCTGCTGATTCGATTCTTCTCTTCTGGAGAAGAAGCGGCGTGACGGCTTGTCTTCGACCCGTTTGCATCGCAGCTCTAAATACGCAACTAACTTCGGAAATCGGTGACGTTCAACTGACTGAATCGGCCTGTATCACCGCGCATTAACCCTCTTGCGGTTCTATTTACTGGCAGAAATGAGTATCGAAATGGTTAAATTTCTTCTGCGGAGGAAAATATTTACTTTCATGTTTGATAATAGTTTCCGAACGTGCTGATTTCAAATTTCAGATTGTTGTTGCAAAATTCAAAATGGCGGATTAGTACTTGAAAGTAGTATAAAGGCCATCGCAAATACAAAATACACATGCATAGCATAACTGCATATATACGTAGCATAAGGCCATCTCGACCAATGAGCATCTAGTATAGAGTAGCCATATTGATTTACATAACATAACATAAATATAAGCATAACATATGCATGGCAAACGAAAAATTCCATAAGAACGAAATTTCTATGCATCGAGTCTATGCACATCTAATCAAATGCCAGATGTAATGTCTCACCGAAAGTTCGAGGAGAACACTATTAACACTTTTTTACATTATTCATATATTTTTAAATTATACAATAAAACTAATATTTACTATAATAATAAATACTGTAATAAATTGATATTAACACTAAGGATTTACAAATATTACCTGAGCATAATAATAATCCTTTGTTCTGCTGGCAATGCTCTCCAATTTTTTTTTGCAGATGAGGCCGCAATAAGTCTACTAATATACAAAAAGTAGAAACATTCATCCGAGTATATTTAAAAAACATTATTGCATCTTCTTTTAACTCTTGAAAGAGATGTTCGAAATCATCAAATTGTAGTCGACCATATATATCGGTCGTACTCATAATCGTTTTTTATTTTGTTTGTGCTACGTTTTAAAATTTTATAACACGCTGCAATATACATATAATTGTCCATGTCCATTATTATTAAGCGAATATTATTATTAAGAGATTAAGCAAAATCTCTCGGCAACTTCTCCTGGCTGCCCACAAATTTCAAATTTGACATATATCATTAATATTTAGGTTAGAAGTATATTCTTGAATAATACTTATTGTCCCTCAGTTCTCATTGGTCAAGCTTTATGCTATACCCATTTGTGTAAGTTGTATATCTTTCTTATGCTTATGTTATGTTGTTTGTGTTCCATGCATTTTGCGTGCGATGGCCTTAAATCTATCTTATCCCAGGTCAGACTCGGGTCTAACCGCAAGCCGGTTAACGTACATCATTGGCGAAAAGTGAACGTTGTCGTATTATTCCGCGGTTGGTGACAAGCGAACGTCATGGCTCGCGGAATATTCCGCGAGTGATAAGCGACAATCATTATGTGCGAATTATTCCGCTTGCGGGTGCAAATGAGTAATAACACAACGCCTCGTTCTGCGGAGATTCAGCCTGGAACCTATCGCGAGCCGATCGCGCGGATGGCGAAATTAATTTTCAACGTCATGAGGGAACGGATTGAATCCCTCTCTCTCTCTCTCTCTCTCCCTCGGTAGTCGCTGTGGAATAACAACACGCAAAGTATAAGCTCGACGGAAGAGTCACGTTGCGATAACAAGAGAGTATTCGGGAGCAACGCGGCTCGAAAGGTCGCGTCGTCCTTTATCGCAGCGAAAGGAGAAGCGAAGCTCAAGCTTCTCCGCTGCGCTGACTCCTGCGCCGCATCCACTCGCGAATTAAAAGCCCATGAATATGGTAAGGACGCAGATTCGGCCGGTGTTTACTCGGGATCAGTGTTACACGGCAATCTGCATAGTGGAGTGTCGGAATACTCGCGTCGGTGACGCGCGACGAGGGGGTTGCTCGTGCGAATCAGCTCGAGAGATCGTATCGTACACGCAAGGCGAGCGTGTCGGTTAATCACGACCCGCGTGACATTCCTTCCCGAGGATACGCTCCGGCAGGAATCTCATCCGAAACTCTCGTTAGCGTCCTTCCCTTCGGGAGGGAAGCCCCGCGCGCCTCCTGGGCCGCTAACAAAATACGTACACGAGGAATTCCGCTCGCGCGTTCACGATTGCGAGCGACGACGTCGCGACGATCTCGCGATCAGCGAGAATCATCATCCACCGTGAGAAAGAGACAATCTCCCCCCTCCCCTCCCCATTTCGCTGCGCTTTCGCCGGTTAATCCGTTAGCCGCTCGCGACCAAGCTGTGCGTACCGTTCGATTATCGAGGGTAACTCCCCTTCCACCCTTCCTCGCCCGGGCGCTAACTGAGTTGTTACCTCGATAATTCGTACGTCGTAGTATCGGCCGTAGTAACACCGTGGGTCTCGCGCCGCGTTAATTTGCGGCTTGGCATGAGAATTTCCGCCTAACTAAATTATCCCGAAACTTATCCCGGCCGGCACCGCTATTACTAATCTATCAGAGTCGGAGCGTCTCGTTGGTATTAAAACGCCGCTACTGGGACCACGCTGTACGCTTCGGTACATCACTCTTCCGAGTCCGAGTGATCACTCTTCCCAGCCGTCTCGACGTCTCGATGTCGAGATGTCACCGCTCGACAACGGAAAATAGTACAAATGTGTTTTAATCGAGCTACCTTGCGGATGCAACATTCGTCAATCCGATGGAGCCAAGAGATATGCTACGTCGAAACTCTCCGAACTCGCTCTTCACGGACTCGCGAAGAAACGCACGAATATTTGCGCAAGGGATGCGGAAGAGTTGTTTATTCGGTAAATAAACCACGAGTCCTTCCGCTCCTCGGAATAACAAGGCGCTCCGTCTCGGCCGTGACGTGTACGCGGCTGAAGCGGGATTACACCCTCGCATTATTTCGCCCGATGTCGGCTCGAGAGCTGCGTCTGATCTCACCTGTGTAAGGTCGACAGTAGTTGCGATTCGCCCTGCTGTAAGTCGCCGGCAAGGACGACTCCGCTCCCGGCTCCACGTACGCTTTACTCTTGCTGTCCCTGGGATCGCTGTATTGTTCCACAACCTCGACTTCCGCCTGCGAACAGAACAGCGGATCGTTTCCTTCCGTTTCTGACCGTCTGAAAGACGTTCGGCCCGACGTGGTGTGCGTGCGCGCACTCGTGCTCGCGATCGATCCGAGCGTTCCCATTAAGGCTCGCGTAATTCTCGTTCCCGATGTATCGCGCATAACATCGCCGTGAAACGACATGCGCCGGAATATGCGCTGTTATTGGTCTGCCTGCGAGCCCCGTAGTGACAATACTAATTCGGTAGCGCGCCTTCTCTCGCACAGCGTCCTCGCGCGAGGACGTTAGACTTTGCTCCTCGGGGCAATGCCTTCGGGGAGGGTTATCTCGTCGGAAACTGCCTTCGCTTAGGTGTACGCGCGCGAGGAACGTTAACCGCTGTCGTTTCCTGCTCCTGAATGCAACCAATTGCGGTAATACCTCGGCTGAGGTCTCGAAGGGCGCGCACGCCTCTCCAGCCGTTCCCTAAATGATGATCGTTATTTCGAGAGAAAACAACGACTCACCTCGGCGATATGTATGTGTGCGTGTGCGTGTGTGTGTGTGTGTGTGTGTGTGTGTCCGGTGGATTAAAAGCGCAGCGGCCGAATCATCAGTCCGAGATGACTGGCAAATATTAATATCCCGTCGGCGTTGAGTCGGGGGGTTAAGCCGCTTGCGAAACGTAAACGGAATATTCCTGAACGCGACGCAACATGCCGCGAATTACGCGATACATTCGTCCCGAGGTTACAATCTCCATCCGAGGAAAAACGAGCGGGAAGAGATAAATTCCCCTCGACTAAATTCAATCGGCCGTCAGAGCGGGCAAAAGGGCTTTCCGTCGTATTTCCTGCGGAAGGAGCTCGGCCCTACTGCGATTACGTGAGTAATCGAGTACTTTGGCGATATTAACAATCGCAAAGATAATAAAAGTAATAACGACGTCCCGGCGACGGCGGCGGCGGCGATGGCGGCGGCGACGGCGGCGGCGGCGGCGGCGACGGCGGTGACGGCGGTAAACGGAGAAATGCAGATCTGCAAATGAGGGAGAAAAGCCGATATCGATGAGAGCGTCTTAGCTCGCTTTCTCGCTCGGAATCTCTCGTCCGCAGTTATATGGACGATACAGTGAAAAGAAGGAACGGAAGGAGAAGAAGGTAGCACCGAGCAAGCGCGAGAAACATCCCGGCGATGCGCGACGGACGAGAAGACGACGGCGGGGAAGACAAGTAGCCTTAAATTGAAAGAGCCCAAAATTGGAATTCTCCTGCCAAAGTTGGGCGCCCTGTGCCTCCAGGGGCTGTTTCGACGACGAAGTCGATTGCTCTCGACTACCTTACCTCGCCGTCTCGCGCTCTCTTTCTCTCCCCGTCCTCGCTCCTCGCGATCCCCCCTTCGTCGTCCGGATAAATTCGTGGATGTTTATACGGAAATTACAGGGGCGACTCGCAGATACGAAGCCGCTCGATCGGTTGCCGCAAATCTGATGATGAGCGAGCGAGGCTGATTCGATTTTTTGCCAATGCAACGTACTCGTCATCCGCATGCTCGCGCGGATGCTCGCGAAAATGCTCGAGCAAAAAATTGTTTGGATTTCATTCTCATGAAGCATAAGGCTGAAAATAGGATGCCTTAAAAAGGGATGCCTCATTATTATCACATCAGACCTCGAGGCCTGGATCTTTTAGGGATACCTTAGATTTTACGAAATAAGGCTTTGACAGGAAAAGCTGAGAAGGGCCTTAGAAGGATTTTTTAGGGATGTCTTAGATCTAATAAATAAGGCTTTGATAGGGAAAATTGAGAGAGGCCTTAGAAGGATCTTTTAAGGACGCTTTAGATGTGCAAAATCAAGTTTTGTTATAGAAATTTAATAAGATCTGAAACGTGTAATAAAAATGTCATAGTTTAGTATCGTTTTAGTAGGTACACTCTATCTGGTTTTTTCTAAAGATTTTTTAATTATATCTCGATTAATAACAAATTTTATTAGTTTTATGAGTTGCCATATTCATTAGTCATATTCATTAGTTTCTTCCAAGGATTTTTCTAGTATTGCCTTCGTTTTGAAATGCAGCAAACTTTAATAAAAGCAGTAGCAAGATTTTTATTTATAATAAAAATGCTATATTTTATTGTAAATTATGTTATATTTTTAGAATAAAAAATTCTTGTTGTACACTAACAAGATTATAAAGAAATAAAGAAATTACAGTGTAAATTTCTTGGAATGAAAAGAACGAATATTTTTATACAAGCAATAATAAAAATATTTTTTTATAAGGCTCTATTAATATTGCCTTATAAAATCCTGTTGATATTATCTTATAAGGACCTGTTAAATCATTTGTTACACATCTTGTAGGGTCCTTGTTTTCCTATCCTTACTAGGGCCCGATTAATGTTAGAGAAAATTAATCAAGCCTTTACCAGAGCCCTTAATTAATTTTTCTACTCGGGTGATTACGCGGGAATATCGATGCGAAACGCCAGTGAGGAGTTGAATCGACGAATTTGACAAGCGACGTTGGGAAAACACATAATATGAACGACAAAAGCGGGCTAGACAAAACGTTAAGGCAAAGACCGCTCTGCTGGCGCAAAAACTTGAGGAGTATGGAAGGAGAACAATACGCCCAAGGGGTGGGGAAAAGAAAATAGGCGAGAAAAGGGGGCCAACGGGAAAGGAATGGATTTTGTTAAATAACTCATTTATCCAAACCGTTCGATGTGGCTGAGAAATTCTTTCCTCCGGGTTCCGCGATACGAAGCGTGTTTTCTAAAATTTTCCGGCCGAGCGCGGTGTGACCGTCCCGAGTGACAATGGGCGAGTGACTTTTACGCATTCGATGCATTCCGGACGTGCGATGTTTCCGACGTTTTCCCCGTGGAGCGAAATGCGTCGCGACGGAAGGCGGGAAAGGTGATTTTTGGACGATCTGATCATCGTCGCGCGTCTGAAAACTTTTTCATTTTGTTTGATAACAGATAAGTTTATCGAATTCCGAGTTCTCATGCCAAAAGAGACAATAAACAATAAATATAAATCATTCTGAATTGACAGAATTTTGTCCTCTGTGCGCGGATCATTTAATCCCGCTGCGATGTACATTTTCAATTAAATGAACAGTTACGAGTCAATGTAACATTCGATATAATTTTGAAATCTTCACGGAAAAAATTCAGCTCAGATGATAAAAAGATATGATACGCGAAAGGAAGATACGCGTAGGGGAACACTCTTGACATTCTGTTTACGCGCGAAAAATAGCCATGTCCATCCAGAACAATGCCGTCGAATGTAAATGACACCGATGCAACTCACAACGGTTTATGCTCATCATTAATGCCGTTCGATTTATCGAGGGATTTGATCCGATTATTTGGCCACTGCGTTATAATTGAGCATAATTATCACACGGTCTAATCGCCCTTTACCGCATTTACCGGCCCTTGATGACGCATCACGATCAATCTTTGTGGCCTTATCGTACTCCGTTAATGATCGTTTGGGGAGAACTACATCGCGATTACGTGAAACGGCTGGGATTTTATATTTCGCGCGCCTCTTTCCTGTGCGGAGCTCAACGCGACGAGCGAATGCGGGAAGAAAAATTCATCACTATCGAAGGAGCGCCGAGAGCACCGAAATGTCCTCTCGAGACATAAATATTAATGTTCGTCACGTCCTTGCAAACTGTCGAGCCGTATTAATGGCGAATAGCGCGATACGGCTTATAACATAAATAACGGCGTTACACAGAACGGCACTTCGGTCTCCGGAGAAAACGTCACGTCGCCGACGTCGATCGCTCTTAATTTCGAGCGGAACAAGTCGGTGCTTCCCAGCACAGCGTATCCACCGTAATATATAATGCGTCGTTAATAATATGCAGATAGCGGCGTTAAGAGCGAGGGGAGAGGAAGAAGCTGCGAGAAGAGCGAACAATGCGAGATAAGAAGCGCGTGAAAGAGCGCATTTTAGCGAGTGAGGAGTATCAATCAATCTCTCACTCCCAGGCGAGGAACATCGCACAAAGGACTCGCCGTCGACTTCGCTCACGCAGCCAATCTCTTTTTTACGAAATTCTAAGCGTCACGCAGTCGGACTTCCCTCTGCAACGTCGACAATTAATGATTCCCGCTTTTCGACGTAATTTCTACGCGCCGTGAGTTAATCGCTACTTCGGTGAATTCGGCTCCGCTACAAATGGCGATGACTCCCCCTCCCACCCTCTTCCCCGGCATTCCGCTGATGCTTCGCGTTGTCTCGAGCGCGGCCCCGGCAGAATAAAAATCGCGCTTCTTCGTCGTTCTCAGACTCGACGGAGAGAATCGAGATCGAAGTTCCACAAATCGAATCGGTGCGAAATAGCAAGGAGATCCGCGATTGCACCGGTGAATTCTCGACAGGCGGCCTTAGACAAAGTTTCGCGCACCAGAGGCCCTTTGTTACAGTGATAAATGCGAGCGACACCGGTACCCGATCTCACGCATAAAATAAAGCGCTGAAGTATTAAGTAAGGCTTACGAGCGGGACTCATAACGATTCACCCTCTCGAGTCAAGTGGCACCCGCTTTCCGTCTTTGTCACACTCCCTCTCCGCTTCGCCGCGACGCTCGACGCACTTTCCGCCGGGGTGACAACGAGGCGAAAGAAACTTTTGTTCGGTACACTCAGGTGTCGGCCCCTCCCTCACCCGCGCGACGTTTCTTCCTCTTTCTTTCTTCTACGAGCACTCTTGTGAGAATCGCGCGGCATGTCTGTCGCGTTTCCGTTTATTTGCAATCAGGCGTCGAGCTGATGATTGTGATAACATACAGCAACACGGCCAACCCGGCGATGAAAGAAGAAAAGCCGCACGAGTCAAAACGATGCGAAACAAGCGAATGACTAAAATAAACGGTTTTCTTTATGATCCTGGTAGAGGCATGTCCTTAAAAAGATATTCCCGCTGTTCATGATTATAAACGGCAAACCAGAATCGGACTGATCGACAAGTATCTACTCGAAATATCAAACTGTTAAGTAGATTAATATCGCAACAACGCGCACATCGCCGAATATATTCGACCCCGCAGGATGCAACACGCAGGATGCAGGACTGCTACTGTTGGTTGCTTCTTCGTGAGAGAAGCGCATCTCGAGCGCGCTTTTGAAGCAACCGCGGTGTAACGCACCGAGGTGAAGCTATATCTCCACTGGCGAAACGTTTAAGCGCAGCGCTCGAGGCGACCCCGGCCGCGCCAGAAACTGAGTGCCGGAGCAATTATAAGCAACGCCGGAAGTCACCGGTCCCTCCATGCCTTGCCCCAACGACGCTCTCTGTCGTTGTTCCGCTCGCGTCCGTTGTTACCACCTCTCGCACCGCCCTCCTCCGACACCCTTCGCACTTCACCGTCGCTCGCGCGACGCCCTTCGCGCGCTGCCATGCCCAGGGGGTATTTTGTCACCGCTGTAATTATATTTCTCCCTTCGAATGATTCTCCGACCAGTCACGTTGCGAAAATATCAATACTATCGTTAGCCGGCCAAACGACTCGGACCACGCCAGCCACACGGGAAATGATGTTATGCGCGCTGCGGATGTCGAGCGAGACGCGCAACGAGTTGCCTTCGAAACTGATTCGATTAATTGCTATCCGTAAGCGCGCAATATGGAGCCGACGCACCGAAAAGAAGAAAAATTTTAGAACAATCATAAGATGTAATTTTGGAGGATTTTATTCTTATATACAGCCTCAAAAAGATTCCTCTGAGATTAGGAGAAAAATATTATAAACACATTATTCTTAAAGTTAGAGGGGTTTATATGTTATACGAGTATGTATAATGCAAGTCTTACTGATTTTAATATAAATTTCCTCTTACGCACGGATTATTTAATTCTTTCTCAAGAGGATTATTATTTATTTTTACTGTACTTTATTCTTATCGGTTATATTAGTTAATTTGAAAAATTTATCGTAATATATACATTAAAATCAACATATTCCTTTTTACATAAGAGGAAAATTGATTGATGTAAGAAAAAATCCTCTTGAAATAAGAGGAAAACAGTTAGAATAACATCTAATACATTTTAGATGAATGGTTTCCCTTTAATCGCTTTATCGAAAGAGGAATCCTTTTTCTGTAAAAGGCTTCGCTTAGAATATGAGACTATCGGAAAAATCACTTTACAAATGGAATACTTTTTTTTTGGGTGCGTTTCATGCTGATATTAGTATTTTAATCGAATCTCCTAGCCCGAATCACTGTTATATTGTTTATAATTATGATTGCGTGTATATATTACATTTTTTATAAATATGTGAAGGTTATTGCTGGGTTCGCGTTTGCTTCGAAACCGATTTGACGAATTGGTGCCTCTTGATTGGTTTTGATTTGACGTTTCATAAGTACTTCATATCAATGCATCGACGTTTTGTGTTAACATTATTGCGTATTTTAATTCAATTTGTTCTTCCGGTCAAACTAACTGCTTTACATGCATATTACATCTCGATATAAATGTATGAGGGTTATTCGAAGAATTTTGCTTCCTCATGGAGAAATCACAACCCTCTGACCCTTTTGATTCGCTGCACATTGAGAAAGGAAAATATCGATAAAGTTTTTGAGCGCGGGACAAGCTGCGGTGGGAATGTGCGAACGCGTAACGTGGCATGTTTGCTTAACGCAGAATTCATTGAACTGTGAATACAGATAAACGCGCGACTCCGGTGAATAAAATTTTATCATCACCGCAATAACGGCGCGATGCATAAAGCATTACGCCCGGGTTGTGTATACATTACCCGCATTCGCATATTCTTAATTAAAACTTTTGTGTCAGGCGCTGGATATGCGGCGTCGTTTGCCTCGTATACATTTGAATTATGCTAAAAATATACCGCGTGAAGCATTACGTTAATTACGTTAGGATACTGTTAGATTTCATTATATATATATATATATATTTACATGTGCACACGCAAACAGATTTTAATAGCGTAAAATAAATTTGTTTTTCCGAAAAACACTCTCGAGATGGCGCGTTCCAGCTTGACTTATGCTCGCGAGAAACATTAATATGAATATTAATTCCGACGTTAACCGCAAAATTTTTCTAATGCGATATCAAATTGCTCGACACTCACATTCTCCACGGTCGGGCTCGGCAGCATCCATTGCACCGTGGAAGTCGCGGCTGCGGCGCTCGCAGGACGTCTCTTGTTCACGAAATCCACGGGCAGACTGTAATCGTCACACAGCGACACCTGCAAACACAAGCGAAAGAAACGTTGTATATCGGACTCGCTTATTATCATTTCCCATTACTGCGCCGCTCGACGAGAATTTCCTCTCAAACTTTCTCTCTCTCTCTCTCTCTCTCTCTCTCATCGCTCCTCTGTGCTTCCTTAATAGAGTTTTCAAGTTACAAGGGAATGACTCTCGTCAAATGACGCAAACTCCGCTAACTGAAAAACTTTGCCCGCGCTCTTTAAATTCGCATTACAATCACGCGATCAGTTCTCCGAGTTGAATCATTTTCTTTTTTATATTCCGCCATCTATTGTCAGCGAATATTATTCCACGCGCTCGGGGGGGCTGATACCGTCGCGCGCGACAATGATTTACATAGCGCAGCATATTATGATATTGAATTATTACATCATTAGAGCACAGAGCAGGTTCCCCAACGAGGCGGAAACTAAATTATCCTCGTTTAAATCCTCGGCACTAAGCAAACCAGTTGTTACTCCCCCCTGGTAGTTACCCTCGACGCTACCGAGGCACGCACCGCCTTTGCATCGGGCGCAGAAGGTACGTTTGAAATAATGCTGAAAAAGAGTGAAGAACAGCCGGCCGGTGGGACGGGAATTCGCACGGGGGTGGGGTGGGGTGGGGGTGAGGGGGGGGGGAAGCAATCGGCATCAAGCGGCGGAGGATTTCTGCCACTCGACAAATCGCAGGGTAAGCAGCCCGCGTCCCTGCGCCCTCAAATCCCCGCCGACGCTGACTGGACCAGCTCATCAGCGATATTTACCGTCTGTCGGAGGATCGATCTATCGATGCGTGGCGCCTCTCTCGTGCTCTCCCGGCCGGTGCGTGGTGTACACGTGAACGGTGAGCTCCGAACACGGCCTACCGCCTACGTCTGTACATGCATATAAATCGAGACAATCGCGGATCCCCAAGGGCGGCTTATCGCGCCGTAGGCTCGGGGGTGGTTACCGAGTCCACGGGGGTGCGCGTCGCTACCCCCGCCCCGCGCTCGGCGCTCTGCGAAGGGAGTGTCGCTGCCGCGCGGGGACCGCGCATGCAAATGGTCGGCGTTTATTGTGAGAAAAGAGCGCCGTATGAATATATGAAGTGGGAAACAAAATGAGAGAGAGAGGAAGAAACGAGAGGAGGAAAAAAAGAAACGAAAATAGAGATAAACGGCGAGAACGCAGAATGGAACGGGGTCGACCGGCTTTCGCGGGAAAGCGGAAATAGACGCACGCGAGGTACCGGTCGGCCGGTGAAGAAATCGACTTCGCAGCGAACGCTGAAACGCATCGGCTGACTGTAATAAGCCACTTCGGATGACTTAAGCGCGTCGCGCAAATTCCAATTATTTGTCGCCATGTCGCGCGCCAAGTTTGAGTCGTCGCGGTCCGCGCAGTGGAGCGAGAGCGCGCATGGCCGGCCGGCCGACGGCAACGCGACAACCGGGACAGTCGAGCGCGATCGCACTCGTAAGACAGATCGTTATTCGATCGCCGCCGCGGCGTTGAGACATGTAATTGAAGCTAAGCGGTGTAGTTTTACGTACTTGAACGGCTTCCGAGCGAGTTGCACCTGCACCAGACCGAATTAGAATCGCGCGGGTCCGTTAGTACGCGCGCGAGGAAGCCAGATGCGAACTAGGACGGTAAGAGCAAGGCGCAGCAGCGGGAATCCGAGAAAACCGCCAATGTCTGCCGTTGGCGGCAATCGAAGGGATCGCGTTTCACGCTGTCTCGGCTTTTAACTGCGCATACTTCCGTAAAAATTCCGCCGACTCGTCGTACCTCCAGACTCCGATGAGGTATCGGCGAGAACGCCCGGCGAATGTTGACTCTGGGGATATGGAGGGGGCGGACGGGGAGGGCGCATTTTTAACTCCGTATAATTATATTTATATATCCGTAGAGTCCATGTGTTATTCATGAATTTCGCTCTACAATGTGTGACGCGCGCGGCTCGCGTAGCCGCACATCCGATACGGCCATAAATCACGAGGCGCGTAATCCTTAAAGTTTGCCGTAAATAGATTTCCCCGTGATCCCCGGTGTCTCCCCCGGAATGATTTGTTTTCCCGTAAATCTCCGAGGCCGCGTGAATTTTTCCAAGCGTTTATTATCGAGTGAGGTCGAAAGGCGCGCCGAGAGGCTCCTTCCTTCCCTTCCCGTTGCGAGCCGGCACTTGTAAAGCGCCGCGCGCTCGCTGCTGTCCTCGAGGAAAGGAAACGCCGCGCTTTACACACGCGCAAAAAAAAAAAAAAAAAGAAAGAAGGAACGAGCTCGTCGCTGGCTCTCCCGCGGAAGCGCGAGTCCGCGTTTGCCCGCGACCGCGGCACTTTGCGCGGTCCAGATTAAGCCGGAATATTTAGCAAATGTTTCACATAAATCAAAGCGGCGCAATATGTTCGGAGTTGGAAGCGAGGCTATGTAAATTCATGGTAATACCGCTAGCCACCCTGCAGCGAGGAGTTTCGATTCGAGAAGAGCCGAAAGGGGGTAAAGAGCGCATTGGGGGACGAACGAAGAGAGGGAGTCGAACACGATAGCGAGAGCAGAAAGGAGTAGGGAAAGTCCAAACGGAGAAAGAGACAGAGAGAGAGAGGCAGAGAGGGAGAGAGAGAGAGAGAGAGAGAGAGAGAGAGAGAGAGAGAGAGAGAGAGAGAGAGCGAGAGAGATCGAGTGGATGCGAGCGAGAGAAAGAGGGGGAGGACGAGGGCGACGAGCGCGTATTTCATGAACCCCTAAAGCAGCCCTGAGCATTGCGGCGACCGCCACAATCCCATTCATTCTCTTTATGGGCTCCCAAGTATTCGGGAGCAGGCTTGAATAAATCGGAAATTTGCCCCGCGGGGAGCGCTTCGGCCCTTCTCGCGATTTGCCTGCGACTTTCGGCCCGGTCATTCGCGAATCGAAGCATCGAGTGTTTCGTTCCTCGCGACGCAAGCGCGATCGTTAATCTTTGCCTGCTTGTCCGCCAACTACACGAAAAGTTGCGCGCGAATCGGCGAGAGCGGCGGCCTCCTCCGGCTACGTGTGACCCGATAATAACAATAGTAATTTATAAACTTAGCCGTAAGTGGTGTGTGCTTCGGCGGGGCGATTTAATCAATATTCTCGCATAATAGGCGAACGCTTCCGCGTAGTTATGAGGGTGCAGTTCGAGCAGCGCGGTAGTAGAAAGTGATATTAACGATTGTGCACCGGGCTCCGGAATTACGGGAGCGGAATGTTTATCCCGCGAAACTTCGACGTTCCCGCGACACTCCGCCGTTTACGGCTTACGGCCGCTCGTCGAGACTGACCGCGCATTAATTCGCCTCGTTAAATATTTCGCACTCGCCGCGCCGCGCGGAGAAAATGTCGAGCGCTTTCTCGCGCTCTCGTAAATTCGATCTTAATCCTTTCACTGCTGAATTAACTTCCCTTGAGAAAATTATTAAAATATTTGGTAGTCCTACGTTTTTTGGCTCGCTGATTACGAATCTAAAGTCAGATTTGCAAAATTCAAAATGGCGGACTCAGTATAGCGATCATGATGTACAAAATTAAATAAAAATTCCAATTATTATTAAATAATGACCAGGTCGTTATAAGAGCATATGATTCTAGACGATGGAACTCGATCGAGCTGGAAAGAATTTATGTGGGAAAATGTTCAATACTGCATACTTATGCTTACTAGAGATTGAAAGACATTCATTTTTGAGTAAAATAATATTGATAGTATGGATAAGAGATGGAGATACAGAATGAAAAGACTCGGAAAATAGAGCTCAAAAGTGCAAAAAAATCAAATTTCGGCCGTTTTAGAAATATAGAAAATATTTGTTTATGAAAAAGAAATCTAACCTGCAAAAAAATACTGAAAAAATATATGCTTTTGTACAACATCAGAAAAATATTTGGTGAAAATTTCAGACCTCTACATTCAATACTCTCCGAGGAATCGATTTTTCCCTAAGAAAAGCATTTTTTTCAACTTTGATTTGTTACAAGTAATCACAAATGAATAATTGGGTGTAAAAACCTATCGGAGTATGTTGAGCAACTATTCAGTTATCTGGAAAACTCAAATTCGCGATTAGTTCTTCAAAATTATGTGATTTACAGCGCAAAATTGAATGAAGAAAATGCGGGAGAATGAAGAAAAGGCGGGAAGTATACCTCCCACTAACAGTGAAAGGGTTAAGAGAGCTAACAAGCGCAAGAGCGCGCATCACAATGCGCATCTCCCTCAAAGTGTGTCCCGGCAAATTTCGTTCGGTCGTGAACGCTGAAGCGAGCGCACCGCAGCGTCACGACACAATGCGCGCGCGATTATATTCCAAGCACCGTCGAGTCGCGGCGCAGTGCACTGTAGCGGCTGAATTGTACAAACAGATCGATCACGATGACATAATTAGCCCTAACCGGCAAGGGTTATACGACTTGAATAGCTAAGGGTCCTGGTGCTGGATAGAATCCCTAAATGCCTGTCGGCGAGCCGCGCGTCTAACGCTTCGAGAAACCCAGAACCCAGGAACTTCCATTGTGGCTAATGAGAGAGTAGTCACTTCGCGTTTCCCAGCAGCTCGAAAAGAAGCGCCATTACGCGCACACTTGTACACTTACACCGGTTAAACGCTCGCTCTAATTACCCCGTTAACTCGACGACGACGACGACGATCGCCGTGGCTGCATTCTTCGGTGCGAGTCTCGCCATCCGCGAAATCAGAGAGCTACGCTCCTCCGTCTCTCCGGCGCGGCGTCGCGCTGGACAACCAGCCGAACCATAAAGAGCCCCCCATAAAGGGAACTAAAGATCGATGAACGGAGGTAACTATGATTGATGATGAGCGAAAGTACGCGCCGGCGGCGGCACGCAGTCTTCTCTTCGGGGACTCGCCCGTCTCATTTTCCGCGTTACGATGATCTGATTCGCTCTAACGCCGTGAGATAAACACGTTAAACTTTCACGAACTCCGCTCTCCGCCGGAACACGGATAGTGAATTCACCTGGGGCTATCCAG